AGTTGGTCAGGTTGGTCAGTTATAAACTTGAAAGTTTTAAAGTCTTGAAAGCTTGTTAACAACATGGGGAAAATGGTAAAAATGGTAAACAACAAAAACAGCTCAGATCATGTAGTTTCAGTCATACTTCAATATAGAACGTGCTGTTATTGTTTTTTATTATACTTTCACACAAACTGAATAATTAAAAACAAGTTTAAATGGGTAAATCTTCTATACATATTTTTTTATTCTTCATTTTCTTTTCTGACATAGGTCTGAAAAAGCGAGGTGTGCTCTGATTGGCCAGCTATCCAGTGCGTTGTGATTGGCCGAATACCTCAAGCGTGTGACTGAAATGTTACGCCCCTCACCATACTGTGATTCTGTGTGTCCCGGTGCGACGAGACAAAACCAATAAAACCCACTACAAACGAGACATTTGTTGCATCCAGTGGGGGCATAATTACGGATTATAATGACTTGTACTGTCTTTTTACGCTTTGCGTTGCATCGCGCCGCGTAAACATACAACCATGTCTGCATTTGTGATCGGAGAAATGACGTGAACGTTTGGGCGGCGTTATGCAAATCTTCTCACATAGTGATGTAGACATGTGGGGGTGTGTTAGAACGAGCCGTTTTAGGAGGGCGTGGACCAGTCTTAACTTTTATAAAGAATATGTCTTTGAATTTGAGACTTTAGTCTTTGCAACTTTACAGATCTTCTTTATGCACCAAGAGCTTGTAACACTCCAAAGAGAAAGGAAAAATGTAAATCGCATCATGACCCCTTTAATTTTTTTCGGCGTGATGCAGTTGTTTCAACATGCGTTTTTGAGTTGAAACAACAGTTCTACTAGTTCATTCAAGTTTCAGCTTAGTTGAGAGGGCCAAATAAACTTAAATTTTCTTGTTGTCTGGAAAATATAAAAAAATTTGTTATGTCTGCCAAAAATAAAAAAGAGTTGAAATGGCAAAATCTCAAAATTATTTTGTACACTGTGGATAATGGACCTTTTTAGTTGCGAAATTTCGTCGAGTTTTCGCGTATTCGGGTAAATTCAGTCATATTAATTTCAATTGACTTAAATCCAGATTAAAAACATTTAAACCTCTGTGCACTGTAGTCCATAATATACAGTAAATGTTTAACTATAAATAAATGTTTAGCTATTTTATAATTAGATAGGAGCCTAAAATGATTTGTTAACACTCATGATGTAGCTATTGATGTATTCTCCCAGGAGTTCCGTTCAAATGTGAATGCATCTCTCTCTCTCTCTCTCTCTCTCTCTCTCTCTCTCTCTCTCTCTCTCGGGTGC